GGGAGTCGTCAGCAGTGCGTACGTTTGTGTCCCTGTCAGGACTCGAAACGCGACTCTTCGGGGTGGGACTTCAAACCCTTGAGCTACACGGTCGACGGTTATCAACTTGTGCATACAAACAGTGGGGAATTAACGATCACCCAAGGAGTGAAACCCACAACCAAAATCATCAACAGTGCCCGTGAAAATCCGAATGGGCTAATCCAAACATTCACCATCTAAAATGTAATAAGAATATTTCCATTTCTACTTTTTGAATTTGATGTCCATTTTGATACGGTTTGTTCGTAACGAAAATTCCAATGGCATTCCTTAAGGTTTTTCGCAGACATGCGTGCTACTAATCCACCAAGGTATTTAGAACAATTTATTAATCATTCCAGACGGAATGAATGCAATCAGTCGGACTACACAGTTTTTGCTTGACAGGTGTATCTTTAGAACACTGGGTGCTCTTTATCTCTCACTCTCAAACATTTTGACTTGCGTTGAAGTGCAAACTAATAGAGTTCTCAATATGGTGAAGAGGCCCAGTTGGTGATTCGTGTAAAGGAGACCGAGTAAGCTGTAACGTCTGAAAATAACCTACGGTTGTGCCTACCGAAGAGGAGTTAGAAAAACAGTTTGATAAATATACTGTGTTCCAAAATGCAATGTTCAATGACGCCTGGAAGACTGGACAGATCAATGCGCAAATCAACCAGTCGTTGAAACTGACTACTTCAAGTGGCCCTCCTGAAAGCACGCCGCGAAACGTTATTTAACATACAATCCCTGGGATTTGGCTTCATTCAGAATGTCAATAATAGTGTCTTGCTCGGTGAAAATACACAGAAAACGCAAAACGCCCTGGAAAGTTGTTTCTGGTGTGTGCTTTGCACCTTCAAAACGCAAGGGACTGGTGCAGGGTTGATACGATTTAATCCTGCACTTCAGTTTGGTACTTTGCATGAAAAATATGCAAGTCGAGTTACTCTTATCTATGCAATTACACAGAACCACTGAGCAACGGGCAGAGGCACCAAGCGTTCACATGCACACACATTAAGTCCCCACCGTTTCAGTGTTTGGTCATGTGGCCGAATAACAGTAATTTGGGATAGCATTTAGCTTAAAAGTTCGGAAAACGTGACCAATGTCGTGGAAAATTGACAGGAAGTTTTGGCCCTATATGTCCGGAAACTCTTCCGATCAACAGTACGGACAGATTTCGGGAATCAAAAGTACACAATAATAAAAGAACTCAACCACAATCGTTAAAATAATAAAATAATTTTAACCGTGCCAGCTATTGAAAACAACAGAGAACATTAGTTCAAAATACGAGTAATGTTCAGAGGTTTGTGTGATATATTATATATTATATTTACCACCGGCTTGTAGACGAGCATGGTGCCAACGCAACAACAATAATAAGATTAACAATAAAAGCGGGCAGGTGAATTGGGGTACAGAACAGAATGAAAGCGGGGTGAAACAGTTAAACACAGGGAGATGGGATAGCAAACTTTTTTTGTGTTGGTTGTTGTTTTTTACGGGGCACGGGATTTCAACAGGTTGACCGTACAGCATTCGCGCCATTGACTTTTATTCTGGGCCATATCTATCAGGGTCTCTAACCAACGAAAATACTCATCCCTTGGGCCCCGACCCGGAAGGTTGGCTGCACCAACCGAAGCCGAAGCTGAAGCCGGCTTCTTCATGCCTCTAGCCCATGTCATGGTCTAACCACCGCGCCGCTTCTTCCAGGCTTGTCCGGCACGTGCCAAGAGAGCACGGAAAGGTAGTCAATGGGCAGGTATATGCAAAACGTGACGAAGCCATCGGAGGCGGTGTAAAGCGATTACTTCTGTCAGAGAACGACTAGCCGCACCCAGCACACGACGAGGAACCTCGTCATTACTCACCCGGTTTTCCGACCAGACATGAGCAATGCTTCGGTGACATCAGTGAAACGGTCCAATATTGAAACCAGTCTATGATTCTCATCAATCCATCATATTGGGCCTTTCTGCAAACCGGTTTGACGGAAATTGCGAAGTGTTCTCAATTTCCCAAGTCCCAAGTTCCTATTTCTTCGTTCCGAAACGGGGAAAACACGATGATTACATGAAATGAATTGTCCGTAGAACACACGTTTTTTTATTTTCAACGACTCGTCTTTTGTCTCTGTGGGTAGATCGCTTTGGTGATTTTAATTGTTCGTCTAAATCAGATGTCCATGGAGTGAGTTTCGTGTGGTCATATGATATTTGTACAATGAATCCATTGTCACTTCAATTGTTGACAGCACTAGTTATAAAGTAGGCAGCTAACTAAACCACGAGGTACATCAGAGAACCAAAACATTATAATTGAGTAGGCTAAACTAACACACCTTATAGGTTCTGCAGGTGCGTCGACGAATTTAGTTATATAATGAATTAAGTAATAGATAAGATCCCAACTGAACCAACTAGGCTCATGAAAATCAGACGGGGTCCCCAGGATCAGTAAAAGTAGGAACAAAATATTTGATGTTTCCACCAGAACTGTGATTGCCATACTTTTTCAGTACACAATCTACCTACAGAAGCTNGGTTATGTACCGTATACATATATATATATATATATATATATATATATATATATATGTATACGGTACATAACCACGGAAACCTCTTTTGGATAGTTTAGAGAAAACTAAGGTATTTTTGAAGTATACGGCATACATCAAACCAGAGGAAGTTCTATGATGTGCTAGNNNNGGTGTTTGAAAACCGCAATCCATTGGTAATCGGTGTCCAGTTCATCGGACCATACGCACCTCGGACAGGTTCAAACGTCTGAGGTGCTCAATGCACCTTGATGCCCAATCGAGCCGGTGACCACTGTCATAACCAGGGACGTGTGTGCGTGATTCGTACGCCTCCTTTTGTTTGGTTTGGAATGAGGAATTTTAGCCAAATCCCCTGGGTGAACTGCCAGTGGCTCATCGATTCGGTATTAGCCCCGGATATTGGCTTTTCGTCTTCTCACTTTGGTGGGAAACCACCACTGCCACGAGGAAACAACGAGTAAAGCTTCCTCAGCAGAGGCTGTTTGAAAGGCTTCTTCGTAGGGAAGCATTTCTTGAGGTGCAAGAGGAGGGACACCAACCACATCCCAAGACACCCACCCCGACAATTATGAGGCTTTCGGACCTTCATTCGACGACAATAGGAGTTTCAGGCACACACAAATCAAGGTAGGATGGTGGCGGCGGTGGTGATTAATTGACAAGTGAGAAAGCAGTTTCCGTATAGCGGATAACATCGCAATCAAGGTTTAGACAGAATTCAATTTTACATGACTGTAAAAGGATTAACATTTGGATATTCTAAAATGCTTCAAAATTATGATAATAAGATTGAAAAATGAACCATATGCCCACGTGGATCGCCCAAACAGTACTACCAACAAACAAGTGTTGCTTAACGTGACGCTTTGACCGACATCTATTGATTTTTCCCATTTCTCTGTTGTATGGCAACTCCTTGATTGGCTGTTTCTCACTTCGTGATAATTGTACGTCTGTACATTCAATAGAAAGAAGTAAAAATGAAAACGAAAAAAGAAGTCTGTTGCAGCCATTGGTAAGCTGTTCTTCCTAATAGTTATGATTTATCTGTCAAATAATCGCACCACGACTATGGATGATTGTAATGATTGTCTCTGGAAGTAACTAGTTTAAATAAGAAACTGCCAAGTTATTTTATTGAAAATAAAGCTACCCTCATACCGGGGAACACAAAGAACCATTTCGAATTTTCGTTTGGAAGGCAGTAGATTGCGAGCATTCTCACGGGCCGTAAAACTCAGACTGGTAGTCTGCGCGTTATGGAGGAAAGCTATATACAAGGTATCGAACAGCGGCTTTGAAGTATTAGCCTTACATCAGCTATAACACACCCAACAAAATCAACTCAGTTTCGGTTTCCGTTTGAACAACAATCAGCCGTGAACCTTGGTTTGGCTGTTTTGATTGCTGTCTTTTGAATACTTATGCATCCTATCTAAGGGCACAAAATATGATAACTATGGAAACAGTTCTCAGAGTACCGAACCTCTTTTCATTATGCGAATTTATCCATATTTATGAATTTGCGAGTTCCAAACGCTGATTTACTTCTACGCGTACAATCCTCCAACTATTGCAGCTTATCGGAATTGACTAGAAAACTAGTTTTTATTTTCAGAGCGTAAAACTGTTTTGAATCGCGACACTCGTTCCATACCATCTGATCAATGTACATGTGGCAGATTCATTCCAAAACATAAAGAGGATTATGGGTGACACAAAATTTGGATCAAATATACAACGGTGTAACAATTTTTCGACAAATGGTTTTACCAGGAGAACAATCAAATTTTCTTTTATTTCTGTCCTAAAGGGAAATTCTGCGGTCGTTTTCTATACGGAATTGTGATTTAGCACAAGGAAAAGGAGTTGTTTCAGTATATAGAGAAAAAACGGTTTACTATGACTGGTGCAACAATAAAATACACATTCCTTTCAAACTTTGAATGTTCGCGAGACTATTGTTTGCAAATGTTACATGGATAACATTCTAGACTATGAATGTTCTGAATAATTTATGGAAGTTTATTAAAGCCGTTTATGTTTTCGTCAACCAAATGAAATGGTTCAATTTAGAGAATGGGCTAATTGTTGTATGTCACGATTTAATTATGAAAACGGATTCTACTGGTAGATTGACTGAAGAAACTAATCAGGTGCTAGTGGTCACTAGCAACAAAGTGTCTAATGTGCTTTGATAGAACGACTTCATGAGATTCATTTTATCTGCCTATCAAACGTGTTTCATTCCCGGTAGAATGTGTGCTTTCAGTGCTTGTAATATAGTGACAGACTCGGATCCCCTAGAAGAGATACGGTAATTGAAGAAATCCGCGTACGCCACTTTTGTGGTACGAGTATGATTAACAGAATGTATAGATGAACTAGTGACTAGCCAGACAACTATGTACGCGAACGAATTGGGACATAAAATCCCAGAGTCCCAAATAAAGCGAACCTGTTTTCATTCCGAACCAAACACCGATCGGTGTACCGTTTCACCTATTTCTCACCATCAGAGCATTAAAGTACATTCAGAAATGTCTAATGATACCGGCTTAGGTAGGCGAGCAAGAACGGATGGAGGACGCTATTTCTTTGAATTCAGAACAGTTTCCTTTCAAGCAGTTAGCAAAGTTGAACGGATCAAGATAAAGTTTACCTTTATTTTAAATAAAGGCAAATAAAAGTAGTAAGCCCGAAGGGAGGTGTTCCAAACATAAAGCGACACACCGCAAGCTCGATCACACAGGCGACATTGGGTAGTAAATGTAATATCTCAACAGACTGTGAATACACCTGAGCGGCTATATCAGTTCTCGAGTGATTGCATCAGCAATGAGGAGCTATGGTGAATAAATGGCAATCTCGAATGACAAAAAGATAAACAATACAATAAGTAGTTCCATGTGAGCAATGGAAGATTTAGTTAGATTTCAAATGGGAATTCGTCGTGTATATAGCAAATGCAGCGTGAACTGAAAAGCTAGGAAGCACTGGACAGCTGTTTCGACCTGGTTGGGTCTGAGGCCCGCAACAAGCTTGCAAAGATGGTTTGTCCTATATCGTGTAAACGGAAAATGAAAAAAATAGTCTGATCGGCTGCCCGATGGCGTAGTTCCGCCCATGAAGTCCCGGGTTCGATCCCCGGATGGGTCGACGGATTCGCACTGCTGATGAAACCCAATCAGGTCGAAACAGCTGTCTAGTGCTTCCTAGATTTTCAACTTACGCTTCATTCGCCATATAGACGACGAATTCGCATTTGAAAGACATTAATTAGTATTTCTGAAAATAAATTACCTACAGTAATTGGGAAACAGTGATCGTGTCACAGTTCAAATACAGGGAATCTCCTGAAAACCGATGAACCCTTAAAAACATCACTATAAAGCAAAAAAAAACGACACGTCATAGAAATTGCGCCATCAACTAAATCATGACAATTTTATATCAGACAGGTTTCAGAGAGGAAGGGCGCTTTGCGTTAAATGATCTCTTTGTTATATGAACCGAGATCTAGAGTGCAATTGATCGATATCGATCACCGGAAGTGTAGATTTCGTGGGATACGAGTGTGCTTATCGGTAGCTCAGACATTGCTTCGCTATTAAACGTTTTGACATAATGATCCATGTACATAGCTTGTCCTGTATGCAGGACACAAATATGCTGTCAAGTAATCAGCCAACGAAGCAATCAATAATTTGAAGATATTAAAAATTTCAATTTAGGGATGATGTAAAAGGGAACTCAGAAATAGTTAGCATTTATTCCCGTAGTAACGGTCTTCGTGCAGTTTCGTGGCTTTAAAAAACACTGTAGTCTAAGATGACTCTAATGGTAGACATTACGAACATTTTTGATTAAACAACTCTCTTCGTATCAGTTCCCGACTATAGGGTCTCACTTGTCATTCAGGTCATATCTCTGGTTTTCTAAGGCAGTCTCCTTAGCAAAACAAGCCAGTATTGCGTTTGCATTGATTGCGAGGTGAATTCAACGTTATCTTGTAAATTCAGGCAGGCTCAGCGACATCCAACTTTCCGTGCATTAATGGAACTGAACGATGTAGAAAGTAGTGGATGGATGTATGGTGTGAATCACACTGACCATTAATAGGTCTGATGACGAAAAACGTTGATTTCAATGAGTAAAAACAAGGAAATCAATAGCACTGAGAATTTCTTCCGCTGCACAAATTGTGGGAATCGAGTCAACCTATTTGTTTATGAACGTATTTCGTTTAATTTCTCAATGTTATTGGTGGGATCAGAACAGTCTGGAACTGAATGCGTTGTAGAACAAATAGGTTGAGGGCGAGCGCGCATGGAAGGTTTCATTTGTAATTTTAGCGGAATAAAGCACTAATCACTTTATTATTCGATATTCTGATATGTCGCAAACCAAAAATCTGCTTTACCGAAGGTAATTACATTTATCCACAAAATCAAACAGTTAAGAATATCCGTGGCGCAAATAATAGCTTGTGCGGTGGTGACCAAGTATTTAGGGCACCAACCTGTGATCTGGGAGTCCCGGGTTCGAACCGTTCAACCGCCTCCCGTATTCCATATTTCATTATTTTCCCAGGCAGCCTTTGTATGGCCGCGGCCCCCTTCCAGAAAGTAGACTGTACATTTTTAAATTTAATAAATAAAAAGAAATTGTTTTTTATTCGCTCTAACCCTACCGTCATGTACATTAGTACTGGCTAATCAAACGATCCGGTTGTGTATCTTTAAGAAAACCGCTTCCTTTGATTTGGGCAATTTGGAGGTACGACATCTGCACATCAATTTAAGATTTACTTCTTTGTTATCAAAGTGCTTGTATCATAGTAAATCTGTCAGTTCCAAGCCAGATAAGTGTGAAACACAAACAAAATTATAAAAATTTATCCGTACTTCATTTCCGACAGTTCAGTGTTCCAAAACATTAATCCTGCATTTGTTTGACATAGTTTCGGTGGCTGCCTTTTACATACGTGTTTGAGGTAGGAGATCATCGATCACTTTGAAGCAATGGGCCTTAGCGATATGAAGCTTTCAAAAGCATAAAGGTTGGATTTGCGCAGATAGAGAAGGAAAGTGCATACAAAAATCCTGTATAGACATTCAATTTCACGCAAGCATAAAATGTAACACAAGGTGAACAATAATCGTGGTTATGAAAAATTGTATACATTGAGCACTGTCAGCACTAACAGTTGTAAGACAAACATAACAGTGAAATTAATTATACTTACTTGATAGTCTGGATCGGCACCTGCGGCAAGCAACATCCTAACCAAATCCGGATTNTGCACAAAGCAGCTGCACGTAGCGGAGTCTGATTGTCCAATGAGGGACGATTCAATGCGGTGGAGTTCTGGTGTGGAGTACTCACTGCACCGGCCATACCGAAAGGTCCGTGTGCATGATGACCTGTCGCTCCTGATGGCTCTGTCGAGTTGAGCGAGCACGGGGTACCGGATCGATTCGGACTGTGGTAATTGAATGAGCTCGGTGGAGTTTGGGTGAGAAGTACCTCAACGGCAGCCAACTGATTGCATTCACAAGCGGTCAGAAGCGGGGTACGACCCGCATTATCCGTGTCCTCTGCATGAGCGCCGCTTTCCAGTAGTATGCTGTGCAAATTATGATAACAAGTGTATCAAATTTTATACAGAACGGAAAGTTGTTCATTGCAAAATCACTGAATTATACTCTTAGTATCGACAGTGTAAAGTAAACCCAGTTGTTCAAAGTAAATTGTGATTTGTATCTTCGAAACATTGAAAGGAACAAAACATTTAGTTCTGAGTCGTGCTTGTACATTTTCGCCTACTCACAAAGACTGTCAAAAGCAAAGTACGGAGTAAAAATTGGATAGAGAGATAATAGACAAATCATGTCCAACCTCATTCGATAACTGCAGTAAGCCACAAGGGATTTGCATACAATACTAAATAAATCAAGCCTTAAAAGATAACAAGAGGGTTATGAAAGCGAAAAAGTGGTCAAAATATTTTATATAATCTCCGGTAATCACGACCAATAATTAAAAAGCGACAAAGAAAAAAAAGCTATCAGTTATACAGAATACAAACCATGTCGTGTAGGCTTTTTTATTGTAGTATTTGAGGCAGTCGCGCAGATGATGACTTTGCTTGATTTTGGTTGAATGAGTCTACCCAAAACAGGTTATTCATAAGCAACTCCTCAGTTTATGACACAAATGGATTCTGAACAGAGCATCACATTGAGTAGGGTTGGTGGGCAAGTGATTTGCTTCATTTTCCCATTCTTGTTATCAAATCGAATATCCGAGACTCCAACCCTGTCACCACCACCCAACACTGTTAGCGAGCAGGAATGATTTCGTCTGACGCAATACCGCTTTATGGTCTTAGATGGTTTGCTAAAAGGAGTTCCATAATTTCGGTCTCCTATTCACGTAATCAAACCATAGATGATCGTGACAGTGAGTTTTATCCGGAAAAATGTTTATCCCTCACAAACCACCTAAATCTCCTCCAATATTCGCCGTTCTCACAACTCATGTTCCAACGGTTCCTGTGAAACGAATATGGAACCCTTGTTCTAAACTGATGTGTCTGTGAAGATTGGTCTATATACATTACACTTCTAACTAACAATGTACGTATGTGTAAACGGACAAAATGGATATTCATACATCACTGTTGACAAGACACCTTTTGTTGGAAGACCTATAATTTTTTCTGTCCCATAGGTCTGAACTACTACACCGAGAATTGCAACGAGAAACAAAAAACCCGCCCATCGTCTGTCTAATTGCTCGCTTGACAAGATGCAATCATCCCATTTTCGCCAAAACACAGGTAATCAATAGGAAACTGACTGGAATTAGTAACCAATAACCTCAATTTACTAGTGAAAACCTCTTTTTATCAAGCTGTTAATGGTTCCAGCTGTCGCTAAATTTTTGGACGAATCAAAGCAAGAGAGAGAAAATTGCACCAAATCACAAGTATTTCCTTTGAATGTTTCATTTACGTGTTTCGCGAAGGAAGTTCTGTTACAGTAAGCCAACTGAAAGTACTCCTCCAGACAACAAATCAAAATCAGCTATACCCAAAAGCATTAACCGTACCATTAAGCAACCAGGTGAACTAATCAAGTAGCAAAATAGGATGCAAGAAGTAAATTGGATTTGGTGCTGGCCACACACAAGCCGGACAAGAAGAGTTTTTCCCGGGATGCTGCAATCAGTACAAAACATATAAAGCCTGCGATTCATAATCAGCGGAATTATTTTACAACGTAATGATAACATTCACTCACAGGAGACTAATGAATAAAATTATGGAATGAAGACTACACCAATTTCCATGTTCTCCAACACGTAACACGAGAAAAAGAACAAGCAAACAAAGATAATTAGATCGATTACTACTAGACGTTTCTATGCAATGATAGATGTTAGTTTTTATAGATGGAAAATGGAAAAGTTCAGAAAACGAGATTAGTTGTTTTGCCCTCAAATGTCCACAACAAAAACATAAGCAGCTCAAGTTAAAAGGGAAAAAAGCCAAATCTTTTGAACCTGCACGGAATGATGTCCGCAAGCATGTCTAACAAGATGATATTTGATTGTTTTGGTCACATCTATAACACCAGACGATGCAAATTTTAGTCGCATTATTCATCTCAACGAATCCTATGTAAGACAAATCTCAAAATACAAAAAGATCAGCCTAGATTTATTTAGTCTGAAGAACGCGAACTGATAACTAACGACGGCGGACGGTGGCGGGATGACTGGATAGAAAGTAATTGTAGTCGCAAAACCGAGCTGAAAAGGAAAACCCAGTGCTCAATCTAGTGGTTCCCGAGTTTGAACTGGATATGCAAGTTAGGTTTAGACAAGGACGGTCGTTAAGCTTGGCAATTGGTTAGAAAATGTTTTCAATACCAGTCGAGCTCGTTGAACAGGTGAGATGGAATTCATTTCACCCGATAACTGATATTTAATACTTAGACAATGATGTGCACTGCGGACAAAGCTTCAGTGGAAAAGAACTACATCCGAAGTCAGTGCAGATATAATTTGTTGGTTTAATGAATTTCAGAATTACAAAATGTAGGAATTATAAATTGACATAAAGAGGAGAAGAGAAACGATTTTGGCTCTCATAATTTTCAATAAACCTATTGCAAAATCCTTAAGCATGCCTAAACTCTCACTTATTACAAGTGCGGGGTCGGTTAAGTAGATTAGGGCAAAGGCTCAAGTGATGAAAGGAAAGGATTTATTGTCTATTTTATTAATTTAATTCAAAACACGTCTGTCGTAGATATTACGTTTCATCGTACTTGACATCTCATTTATGCCGTGCCTCAATAGGGTTACATTTGACAGTCTGAGTCTGA